AAAAGAAGAAAAAAAAAATTTACTATTAGGTATTTTTAATGTTAAAATATTTAATAATAATAATAATAATAATAGGTTATATTTCCTTAAAAAAATTTTTTTTTTTTAATAAGAAATGGAAATTTTTTTGTGCTTTGATCCAATTTTTGCCAGGTTAAGGTTTTTTTTTTTTTTTTTTTTTTTTTTTGGGTCAACCAAAATACATTTAGTTGTCCAATAATGTATTTTTACAAAAAAAAAAAAAAAAAAAAAAAAAAAAAGAAAATGAGGGGGAAAATTAAAATTAAAATTAAGTTTTTCCTAATTTGAGATATTTTAAAATCTAATTAAAAATTATTTTTTTGTATTAAGAGTTTATTATTATTATTATTATTATTATTATTATAGTACTATTATATTTTTAAGTCTTACGTCCTAGTTTGTAAGTTTATAAGAAAAAAAAAAAAAAAAAGAAAAGAAAAAAAAAGTCATGCTTATATAAGATAAATAATAATATTTTTTATTTATATTTTTTATTTTTTAAAAATTTAACAGGATTAGATTTTAAATCATGATACCGAAATACTTGAATTATTTTATTTTACAGATTTATAGTTAAAAAAAAAAAACCCCTTCGCTTTTCACTAATTCTGCCATTTTATTATCATTATTATTATTATTATTATTTTTTCTCGTCTAGTGTGTAAATTATTAAAAATAAAACCTGTTGAATTATTGAATTTATTTGCAGGATGAAAGCAATTTATTGTTCGCATATATATTTAATTATTTATTATTAATTATTATTATTATTTAATTAATGAAAAAAAATAAGTCTTAATTATTATTGGATAATTTAATTTAATCTACTTGATTTTTAAATGTGATACAATTTAATTAAAATAAAAAGTTGGATAATAATAATAATAATAATATTAATAATGATAATAGATTTAACGATAAGTTTCGTAATAATAATAATAATAATATTAATTATAAAAATGTGTATATATATATAATGTGCGAGTACATATATATATATATATATATATATATATATTTACACGTAAAAATATATGTATAGTATATAATAATAATAAATAGTTATAACATAACATATAATTATGTCAATTGTTAAAATAAGTTTTCGCAATGTCGATATTTGATATATAGATGTTTATTCTTTTATTTATAGGTTAGGATAAAATGAAATAGTACTTTATTATTACCATATATATATATA